ATGTTGCTTCGTCAAGTGAAATAGTCTCATAGTCTTAGTACGTATATTTTACATGTAAGATTATTATTACATTAATTTCAAGAACTAGAAGTTGTATAAAATTGTACTTATAATTATATCGAGCATTAAGATCCTGCTATGATTTTTCCTTGATTTTTTCTATTCTAATTGTTTTACATTTTGCCTTGTATGTAAGATAAATATCGCAATAATTGAACTAATAAGAAGATAAAATCAGTTTAATGTTATTATTAATTAATATTAGTAATATTACAAAATTAATTGACTATCCCGATACTTGAATTAAACAATTTTTATCACAATAATATGCAATAAAATTATATATTTTATTACTTATTTCAATACTAAATATTTAACTATTTACTTTCTCAGTTTACCATTTCTGCTGTTATTGATAAATATCTTAATAATTACAAATATGCTGTTGATTTTTCAATTACTGGACACATTTAATTATTAAGACATTTATCTTATGTATAAAAATAATTTTAAAAAATATTAACAAATATAGATTAAGAATTTTATTAGAATACAAAATTTTATTTCAAAAATTATATTTCGTTTCATTTATAAGAATGAATGTATATGACATTTTTCTTAGGTTCGACATGCAATTTAAGCTGTAATTGCTGTAAGAAAAAAATTGATGGTAATATAAATAATATAACATTAAGAGAAGTTAAAACATAAATCAAGATACATTTTTTTTTAGATAAAGCTTTGAAGAATATATCGTCTCAGAATTATTTAATACGAAGTATTATTGTTGACGTACTATCTGAAATAAAAGAATCGTCCTTCTTGATTTCTCAGATCTTCTTTAATTATACGAGTAAAGGATCATCTACAATAGGCACGTAATATACGTAACGTTGTAGCCGGACATTAATTAATTCCTCTTTACCTTTTATGGTGGTTTACCTTTTCCTTGTGTGTCCGCTCTTATTTGATTGGTCGCCAGCTTGTTTGTCCTCTACTACAAGCAAGGTCGTCAAGGAATCTTTGGGCTGCCGTGTGCCTTTGTAGTCTACTCGTAAATGCCCTTCCTTTTCCAATGGTGGAACCTCGATGTCGTCCTCGCCTCGTACAGGATCGCTTCTAGTCCTTAGGCTGCTACTGGACGGGCTGCACCATGCATCAGACTTCGTAGTTCACTTTCTATTTCAGTCTCGCTTATTGTTCTTATTTTATTGACTTAATTTCGTTGATCCAACTCGCGTATCTCACAGTGGATGGGTGAATGTATTTTTGACTCGAGCTATAAAAAATATAATCTTTATTTCACAAACTTAACTTACTCATTTACTCGGTCACACTCACACCATAGACATATAAGATAGACCCAGCATCTATAGTATATGCTGGGTTTGGCAGAACGGTGCGAGAGGCAAAATATCGGGGCAACCTGTCCTTCTCTGCGCGCGCATCTTGACAATCTTGACAAAATCAAAATGGCTGACTACGTTAGGATCGTGATCGTCTGCATTCTTTGCCCATTTTTATAATTGTGTTAATTTGCGTCACTAGTATGAATAATTGTGTTTATTCGCGTTTCTTGAAAAATTGAACATGAAGACGTGCAGCGCATGTGGGTATCAAAAGAAACCTGGTGGACAGGAAAAAATATCCTTTCACACGTAAGTAAAACATTTTAACCTCTACAATACGTATAACACATACCGATTTTATGTAAGTAATAAAAATAAGTTATGCACTTTTGAATTAAAGGTTTCCAAAAAAGGAAAATATCCGTCAAGCATGGATCGAGGTGATGGGATTAGAAAATGTTGACCCTACTAGAAATAGTGTTTTATGTAGTCAGCATTTTTCAGAAGAATGTTTTTATTATAGTATGGGAGGAATGAAACAAAGAACATATTTGAAGCCA